ATATATATATATATATACACATGTAACAAACAGAAAAATCATATAAATGAATAATATTTAATGATTGCATTAAATATTATATAAAGTTTTAAAAATTCTTCGTTTCAAATATATATAATATTTTATTGGATTTACAAGTTATTCGCGCCTGTATTGCCTGTATGCACATATATACATAAACCGACTACAATCACCTGTTGCTACATCCTCATAAATGTTTCATCATCCAGATCAGAATCCAAAATTTCTGGAATCTGCATATCGCGAAAGATACACGTGACTATAACATGGCATTTTACTTAAAAGAATTTTGTTTAATTTTCATGAATATTCCAATTCCCTTTCCTATGCATTTAAACGAAGGAGTTTAATTTTAAACGTGAACGAATCTTCGAAAAAAAAAAAAAAAAAGGAGTTGTAACAAGTTAGTTCGAAAAAAATTGCGCTTTCCTTTATCATTGAGAATAAAAAAAAAACAACACCGATCGATTCTTACCGCGTTCAGTCTAAAAAAGAAGTTTTATTCACGTGCGTGAAACGTGCGTAGAGATTCTCCCGTTTCCTCCGTGGCAGCGTAATTATATGCGCGTTTACTATACGACAGGAATTTCAATCGGGCCCAGTTTTTACACAGCTGACAGGGAGGAATGAGACGACGTGAATTTCGATCGCGTAATTTCTCAGTATATTCAATTTTATAAGTTTTTGAATAAAGAGATAGAAATGACGCTTTCAATATCTTTAAAAGCGTAGTTCGAATTAAAGTTCAGTTGCAGTATCTATTAAAAGTAGAAGTATTTGGTAAGAAATAAAAGTAGCGTTGAAAGCTTAATTCGGAAAAAAAAAAAAAAAAAATAGAAGAAATGGAGGAAGTTTCGAATTTCTTACGAACTTCTTTGGAAGCTTATTTTGGTAAAAAAATAGAAGACTCGAATTTCTTCCATTTGAAAGTCTACTTTCAAATTGAAGAACCAAATTCACTTAAATCTTTCTTAAAAATTTTCACTCAATCGTTTATTAAAAATAAAATACAAAAATTCTTAAATTATTTCTCTTATTTTCTCCACGAAAGAAAAAAAAAAGAAAAACGAACAGTTTCACAATCATACTGTGTCGCTACAGTAATAAGCAACGAAGAAATCAAGAGCATGACTAATTTCAAGCAAGACCAATATTTAATATCATATTGCTTTCATGATACATCGTTTACTTGCACATTTAACGCGCCTAAATTACTCTAAAAGACACGTGTTTATCTGAATGTTGGCCGGTGCAAGCGTTTATCAGGCGCGGGCCACGCAAGAAGGAACTACCGTGCGACCTACATCCCACGTTTAGCATACTTCGTACCAGTTTCGATTTTGAAATAAAACTGCGACGTGATTCTCAACACGTGTAAGTATTACGTACACTGCATCAAAACGATTAATACGTGGGCGGAGTTCCACGATAAACGACTGATACCACCAGGTGACTTATCGTCGCGTCTCGTTTCGATTGTTTTTTTTATTATACTTTTCTTTTGTTACATAATGAAATTAATATTCGTATCGAAAATTATCTTTGGGAGAAAGGTTATGTTTTATATCGAGAAGAACGAGAGAACATAACATGCAATTCCAAGTAATAAAATTTTATGAATATCTTTCTAGAGTAATATATTATATTTGAAATATTAAATTGTTAAAGATAATTAAAGTCTTGATATTTATTAAAATTAATGTGTTAATATTTTTTTATTACGAAAATTTTCGTAAGATAATAAGTAATTATATATTCTGATAATTTTGCTTGGTAGAGAAAGTTAATTAATTATATATGTACGAATAAAAGAATTTTTTAATAACTTGGAAAGAAACAGATTCCTGATTTTAATAATACAAAAAATAATTTGTGAATTAAAAAAATAATGGAAGATAATTGAGATTAAATTATATAGGTTCACGTGATCGTTTTGCTTGACCACAAGATCTTTCACCGATATCAATCTCAACATCCATCATTGAGCACGTGCTCTTTGAAATCACAGCTACTCATCACTATCCTTTCACCGATCGAACAAACCACTCCTCAACTATAAAACTATCACATCAAAAATATTTTATATTGAATTTCTTAAACTTCTCCAAACATAACGAATTAACTTCATTTTAATTCTAAATAATAATCAAACTTTTACATTACGGAATCTACACAATTTTTTATATAATTAATGTTTATATGGTTTCAAAAACTTTTCACATCAAAAAAAGAAAAAAAGAAAAAATCCAAGAATTAATTATTTCCTCCACAAATTAAATTAAACATAAAAATTCTAAATTATAATTAAACTTACATATCTCATTGCACGATCAACATCCACGTGATTCTAAAAACTATTTAGATCTAAAACTGTTTCTATCGAAACATCAAAATTTCCACAAACACTTCAAATAATCACACTTTTACGTATCATCAACGTCCACGTGATTCCAACAACTTATAGTTAAAGCACATTAAAAGCACACTGAAAGATCCGCTAAAAACAAAAAATCAAACGCAAAAAGGAAAGAAAAACGAGGAAGAAAAAATAAAAGAACGAGGAAAAGAAGATTGAAATATAACAAAGTATACAACGTGACACTAACTTTGACTCCTGCGTGACTTCAGCTTGCTGGCAGTTTTCCCCATTTTCCTGATGGACGCATGGGTCTCACGTTTTGCCGATTCCAGGTATCGTCACGGACGAGCTTCGGCCACTGTTGAGATGCAGCCACTGTTGCGACCGTGGCATAATGCGATACCGAGCTGACTGACCGGCCGTCTTTCGAAACGGGACGCGAAGGGACGAAAAACCTCGATAGACGGAAGGCAACGTTTAGCCACGATCGTTGAGACACACACGCCGCGAACGAACGCCGCCAGGAGAATGTCGGATTTCATGTGGAGAGAGGGAGCGCAGGCCTGACATGGAAGAGGATGGAGAGTGTTCCCTCGTCGTTTGAATGTACATTTGACAAAACGAGACGGAGTGATGAGAATGGAGGGGGGCGAGGTTTTAATGAGATTGGATGAGCACGAGTCGGTTTGATGCCGAGTGATTAATAAATGTGGGGAGACAGTGATGAAGTGAGAAGAGATATTGGTTATTGAGTCGGGGGTGAAAGGTGACTGTTTATCTTTTGAATAAGTATATTTTTTTGTGTATAAGTTTTTGTAACGAAGTGATGCGAAGATTAGAGGTTAGGTTGAAGGAATTTGGGAAGGAAGAGGAGAAAGTTCGAATGGAAGTGAATGAGAAACATTTGAACGAATTTGGACGAGTAATGATAATGTTTGAATGATAATGTTTTGATTTATCGCATAGGATGTTTTAACTATATGATTTGGGTATAATTCTTAAATAAAAGATAGAATTTTTATGAGATAAAGTTAATGGTTTGAATATTGGATTTGGATATTCTGATTCATGTGTTGGAAATAAGGCAATTAGTTTAAGTGGTTAAGGAAATAGGTTGGTAATTATTAAATGATTAAGCGAAAATGGAAGGTTAGTTTTCTTTTCTATCGACCTACTTTTAGAACAATATAGCCTCTATAATTAGATCATACTTATAATAAGATTTCATTTCAATATAGCTCCTTTAATAAATTTATAGAACAAAGGTTATAGCTTTTAAGAACCTAAATGAAGACTAGTTCGTATCGCTTCGATACAAAATAATTAACAAAGAAGAGACAAATGAGATTGGATTGAACGATCAATCAAGATAGCCAGAAACTAGAACGATTATTTAAATAGAAAAACTAAAATTCTTCTAAATTAATTTCTAACTTCGTTTCATATATATAATTTTATGCTAATCTAATTAATAATTGTAAAATTATAAAAAAAGTCAAGCTGTTAACGAGTTTTCAAAAAAGATACATCTCCTACTGTAATTATAAAATCATAAAAAAATCAAGCTGTCGACGAATCCCTAAAAAAGATACGCCAGTTTAACACACTGAGGAAGAATGCTTCTCAGTGGGGACAACCGAATGGGGAATGCAATGTTAGAAGAGAGAGAAGGGGAGGGAGGGAAGCACAGGCCTGCGATTGTAATACACGTGGCACAACAGTAGTTATCGAGAGAGACAGATGCGAAATTGAAAAAGAAACGAGACGAAGAGGTGCGAGCAGATTATGCAGCGAAACTTGCGACTGTTTAATAAACGATATCGATAAAAACTGTAAACAGAGAAAGGAATTCGTTACCATCAGTGATATATTCAACGTGTGCACGTTGAACAGATATGAGCCACGATGGAACTCGTTTCGGTATTTTATCGCGTCTTGTGCGTGAAAAAAAATTCAATATCACCTTTGTTCGAGGTATGAGCAAATAATGATAAATTGGAATACGTAATTGAATCTGGAGGATGCAATTTCTCGTACTTTTATATTTTCTATTGTTATTGCACACAGTAAGTACAAATCTAATATTATCATGTATTTAATAAAAAAAAAAAAAAAAAGCAATTTTGAAGTCAATCAGAAATACAATGCAAATAAATTAAAAAATCTGCACAGTAATGAATAAAACGAAATATTGTAATTTAAAAGAGAGTAATAAAAGTTAAATTGATTTTCAAGCGAAATTAGGAATGGAGGAATATTGATTGGAAAAGAGAGCAATTTGCCGAAAAATGTTGGAGGAAAAACGCGTAGTCGACAAGTGTTTCGCACACTTTGAAATAATCGTGTCGTCATCGAGAACCCGGACTCGTTCCAGCCGACGGATGTTACTCGGTTATTTACGATTGGGAAAAAACCAGAATGCATGATGTTCAACGCGAGTTGCAGCAAGGACGCGCACAACAATTCGCGAATTAGTTGCGTGAAATTGCTGTGACTACCTGTTGGACTTTCGATTTCTTCTGGAACTTTGCCTCCTTGTCATTATTGTTGTCATCGATATGACACATGTTTCTTTGTGTTATTTGATTTATTAATAAACGTGACCGATGAAATCTTTTTTTAATTTTCATTGTTAGACTGAAAATGTACAATTTTTTTGTTAAATAAATTCTATCAATATATAAATTGTATATACAAAAAATTACTAACAAAATTATATCGTGTTAAATAATAATAATAAAAATTTGCAAAAATAATTTTAGATTCTATAGGATTATGGATTATAAATTATTATATGAATTAATAATTTCAGAAAAATATTCTAAAGGTGTAGTAATTTTGTATTTTTTAATTTTCTAAATCGATGCTAAAGAAATCGAATTCGTTTTCATTCAAAAATCGATTTGTAGCATGCTATACTCGTCAAGAATTATTGTTGCGAGCTTACGTCATAGACAACGGTACAAATTGTTGGAAAGGAGCAAGGTTGCGTCTATAATTGCATGATCATTCAGCGTTCACGCTGACCAAGCGCCTTCATGCGTGTCTTCGAATTAATAAAACAAGAAATGCAATATACTTTAGTTAATAATCTTATCTTTTTAACCATTAAAAATTTGATGTAACCAATACGATACTAATGAACCTTTCGAATTTATTTAATTGCATTTCAATTATCTTTCAAACGATCGAGGATGAAGATTTGTATTGTAATTAGTTTTGAAAATTATTATTCATAATGAATTATCTTCTTAGTCATAATTTTTCGACGACTAATTGCCAAATTATACACTTTCTTAAATTACCAATTCTCAAAAATAAAAAATATTTTTTATTACGTTCATTTAAAATACGAGGAGAAATTTACTTAAAAGGCACAGTCAATTGCAATATTAAATTACTTATAATTTTCTTTTATTATCTACAACTGATATTTACAATCAATCTTCCAAAGATACTATGGGATCTGGTGCTACGGAAAATTATTTTCAAAGCGCCTGTATCAGGCAACCGTTGTTGTCCATCGCAATGGGTTGCATTCATACAGGCGCGAATAAAATATATATTTTCCAAGCTACAAATTTTATTACATTTAAACTATTTTTTGTTCCACAATCAATGTTAAAAACGTGGAATATTTAAACACGTAAGATCAATAAAAAAAATAAATAGAAGAGAAAATGAGAGATCGTATTTCTTTAGGCCACTTTTTATTGGTGCGAACATACCAGAATACATCGAGTTTTACAGTCAATATTCTCTATGGAACGATGCATCACCAGGCATAATCGTTCACTTTATACTCTCTATACAATGTATACGCGGAATAAACGACATGTATATATACGTTCGAGCACGACACAAATAGGGATTAGCGAGTGTGCTCTCGTTACAACGACTACAAGATGTTATATAGTTTTATGCTTCCTCTTTTGAATTCTCGCAATCCTCCAAATAAAACAAATATTTCTTCCTCTTTTCTCATTGCGTCGAAATGGAATTCGACGCGATGTCAGATCGTGTAAATACCTTGAAATATATAAAAATTCCAAACAGACGGACACGCGTCTGCCTTCGAAACTGCGACTTACACGCTAATTATAGAAGTATCTGGGTTACATAGTATATCTTTCTGCGAGGGAATTGACGTTTTACAACAGCTTCTTGTTTTAAGGATATATTCTACTCCATTGTTTCCACATTTTTTTTCTTATCCACGTGATACTATCTTAAACATTAAGACCTACTTTGTTTCACAAGTCTGAAAATACTTGGATATTTGGATATTTTCCTTTGCAACTTCATCTTCAAATCTTGGATCAACATCTTTTTTATTCTGCAATAATAATATCCTCTCTCTTTTAAATATAATATCAATTGTTGATATCCAACTGTTTAGTATTCCGATAAATGTTATAATCGTTATACAATTATATTTTATAATGTTACATATATATATATATATATATCTTGAATAGAGATTACAATATCATAATTTTTTTTTTTGTCATACAAGGGTCCGACGACATTAATGAAAAATTCGTGGCCCAGAAAAATACTATGCACACATATCTTATTCTTTTTCTCATTTTTTTATTTTTTTTTTTATTTTTTTTCTTCTTATATGTATATACATATATATTTTTTTTCTTTTTCTTCAATTTTCTTCGATTTCTACTTCGCCCCTCTCCACGCGCACACATATAATATAATACGCAAGCTTCACAAGGAATCGATTAATCGTAAATGAAAATCGTGTTCAGCGTTCATCAGGTGTTGCTGAGTGGAAACGATCCAGAGTTTGCCAGTAGTGAAAATTATGTAATTCGCGCGACAAGTTATTCGCGAGAAACCGTGTTTCCATTTCGTTGCGCAACTTTGATATCAAAAGTTTTAATATTATAGATCCGGGGGAAATTATAGATTCGAGAATGATTAATTTCATCCAATCCTATCGTTTAAAAACATTTCTCTTATTCTTTTAAATTGTTTCAAATCAACCGCATAATTTCCATATTTTTTTTTTTTTAATTTAACTTCTCCAAGTACGTAAGCACTGGTAAACATCTATAATCTATACTTCTTATTTATACTTTTTATTTTTAAATTATCGTGTGATTACGTAAAATGCAGCATTTCTTGCACGTTTATCAAAAAAAAAAAAAGAAAAAAAAAACGAACACCTTTAATCATCTTTCTCGATATGGAATGCAGTTTTCCGTTAGGCGAATAACACGTTTCCACGCGTAAAAGGATTATGTATAGCGATTATTTTGTAAGTAAGTAAGTAAGTAAGTAAGTAGAAAAAGATGCTTCTCATAAATAGAAAAAACAGATTTGGCAATGGCGGGAGGGATCGATCTATCTTCAACGTGAAATATATTGTTTCGTTTCGTTACGCGAGGTACAAAAAGAACTCGTATCATTGAACAACAGTATCTTGAAAAGACAAGTGTATAGGCAGGTACTGTATTATGTTTCAGATTGACTCGATCAACATCGTGGACGATCGTGTCGTCGAGATTTTTACCTCGTTCATAGTACTTTCTCGCTGCTGAATCGCTCGACGAGTTTGCAACGAGCACAAGGTTACGGATAGAATTCTCGAAAAAAACAATATAATGGCCGTGGCTATTGCGCGACCATTTTGAAGGCTTTAACGATAATTCAAATTTTCGCAGCAAAGAATCGATGACGCTAGATCGCTACGTTAATGAAACAAATTAAATTAATAAAGTAGATAAAATTAAATTGATATATGGATGGACGATATACGATCGATTTTGAATATCCCGCCATTTTGTCATTAATTATACAGCTTTATAAAAACGTTTTAAAGATAATATAATTGTATATCAATAATCGAAAGAATGTTTCTCGTATTACATTTGGTGTATATATGTAATGTATATATGTAATGTAAGGTAAAGTGGCATACATTTAAAATGGCGGCAAATTCAAATGAATATCCATCTCGGTGGGGAAAAAAAAAGAAAAAAAGAAAGGAAAATAAATGGAAGATAAAAACCACTTTTCAAATCAACTACTTTTTGTCTATATGACAAAATCGATGCATGATATATTTTTCAACAACGAATTAATAATATCGAAATAAAATTAGTGGCAAAATAAAAGATATGCAAACGAGACACCATTGAATACACGTATTCGACGCTCGATCTATAATACTTTCATGTGTTTCGAGTTTCGATTTCCTCTGGAAATCCGTGTAAATTACAATCGATAATTACACAACTAGCTAGCTTCTGCGTTTTCGGAAAAATCGAATCGTTCGATCGACGCAGCTTTCGATCTCCTTCTCGAGGAATGAGACATTCATCGCTCATCTGCTTTCTAATTCTCTGTCGTTGAACCTAACCTATGATTTCTGTTCGAACCGCGTTGGAAAGAAAATGGTATCGGAAATATCACTTTAACATTTGTTTATAACGTAAATGTTATCTGAAAAAACATGTCCTCCGTGAAAAGTTAATATTAATATAATGAACTTTCTTTTGATTGTTTAGAGAATATTTAAAGTTACCAGTATGTATAGTAAGTAAGCGATGAATTATGTAACTCTATTCTATTTATAAGTTTCTGTGAGTTCACTGAGATGTCCCCCTTTAGTTAGAATATCTTATCTAATATATGGAAATATACAAGTGAAAACAGGTTTTCGCAATTTTTTTTTTTTTTTTTGCGATGTCCTCGTTAGGAAAAAATAAATTAGACCTAGATTATAAATCTTTTTAATTTTATTTAAAAGAGACGCGAGAAATGTTGAAAAATGAAAAGATAAAATATTTTAACTTTAAAAAAAGGAGACAATATAGATTTGTAGAAAAAAGTTGTGTAAATCGTTTTTTATTTTCCTATTCATTTTAAAATATCGATTGCAATTGATATGTAAGAAATGATCAAACAATAGGCCTGTTGTATCGTTGTCCAAAGATGTAAATAGTAGTAAAAGTTAAT